TGGAGTATCTTAGATGGCTGCTCACAGGCTTTTAAGACCCCAGACGCTACTCACCAAGGTAGAATGTAGAACGTTGTCTTTATAAACTGTGTTATGCCAATTGAGCTAGATGTTCCCCAAGACCATGGTCGCCACAGCCCTCCATCCAGCAATTCAGTCACTCAGGGAGTTTGGATGTGTCTATGGAGCTTCCATGACCTTTCCTTGTACAAGTTGTGCTGACTTCCCCAGTATTGTGTACTGTCTCACCCTTCACCCAAGATACCATTTATCTATTGCCTATTTAGTATTTCCTCCCCACCCCTCCATCCCTGGTAACCAACAAGGATTGTTACTTTTGATGTGTGAGCTTTTTCACGGGTTTTTACAACAGAGGTCTCATACAATATTTGTTCTTTTGTGATTGACTTATTTCACTCAGCATAATGTCCTCCAGTTTCATCCATGTTATGAGATGCTTCACAGATTCGTCACTGCTTTCTTGGTAGTATGAGGTCCCCCTGTCTTTCTGCTTGCTTCTCTCTTTTATCTCCTGTAAGATAAAAGGCGGTGCAGGCCACACCCCAGGGAAACTCCCTTTACATTGGATCAGGGATGTGACCTGAGTAGTAGTGTTACATCCCACCCTAATCCTTTTTAACATAACCCAATCTTGCTTCGTTAACCACAGACAGAGATTAGGATTTACAACACATAGGAAAATTACATCAATCACGAAATGGAGGACAACCACACAATACTGGGAATCATGGCCTAACCAGGGTGACACATATTTTGGGGGGACACAATTCAGTCCATAACAACTGATAACCAAAAAGTTGGAGGTTCAAGTCCAGAGGTGCCTTGGAAGAAAGGCCTGGTGATCTACTTCTGGAAAATCAGCCATTGAAAACCCTATTGAGTATAGTTCTACTCTGACACACATAGGGTTACCATGAGTTGGAGTCAACTAAACAGCAACTGGTAAAGTCCATTACTAGGGTGCTCCAGGCTACTTTACTACCCTTCTCTCATGGTCTCATATTTTGATTTATTCCTTCTATTTGATCAAAGCTTAAAGCAGCTTCCTTCACCTGCTTGACCTTTATATGTTTTTAGGCCCTTTCCCAAGTTGTGATACAAGAATACAACTTTCCCTTTTAACACCCTGCATGGCTCCCGTCTTTCCTATTAGTTTTTCTAAATCGATCTCAGAGACCTAATGGCTCTTCCTGTCCCTATGCTGCAGAGACATGGAATTTCTTCAATTCTGTGCATGGCTCTGATGTGTGATTTAATATATTACTTGTCCCATTCATACAACAGCTTACTGTTGGTTTTTCTTCAGTGAATGTTCATTCAACCAAAGCCTTTCGAAACCTGACAATGTGTCAAACACTGTGCTAGACACTAGATATAAAATGAATGAAACGCTATTTCTGCCTGGGAGGAGCTGGTAGTCTACAAAGCAGAGGCAGGCATGTAAACATGTATATTTTAGTGCAGTGTGTTACATGCTGGAGCCCTGGTGGCCATTGGTGAAGCGCTAGTTCAAACCGAGAGGCTGTTCTGTGGCAGAAAGATACGGCAGTATGCTTCCGTAAAGATCCCAAACCAAAAAAAAACCTATTGCTGTGGAATCCACTCTGACTAGTGAGCCCGTAGGAGAGAGCACAACTGCCCCATAGGGTTTTCAAGGCTGTAAATCTTTACAGAGGCAGACCGCCACATCTTTCTCACGAAGTGCCACCAGGGCTCCCCGGTAAAGATTAGGAAACCCTATGGGGCAGTTCGACTCTGTCCTGTAGGGTCACCATGAATAGGAATCGATCCAACGGGCAACGGGTTGTTTTTGTTTGTTTGTTTTGTGTTGAGCGTCAGTGAAGTAAGTTAAGTGTCTTTGATGTAGTGAAAAACAGGTGAAAGTGTGCACTACAGATAAGTAAATAAGCACAAGTAAACCCGTGCGTACTTTGCTTATTGGGTAATCCGTCCCTGAGTGTCACACACTGTGATGTGAAGGGAAATGAATTTCCTCTGGGGACATCGGCAAAAGGTCTCATAGGAAGTGACATTTCTATTAGTCTTGAAAGATAAGTAGAAGTTCTTCCAGTAGACGACAGGGACTGTGGGAAGAATAGGGCATCTGAGGAAAGGAAATCGAGCATGCAGAGGCTCTGAAATGATTGAGGAAGATCCTGACTACCTCAGGAAGGTCTGATAGGCTTGGTGTGTTTGGAAGTGTGGTAGAGTGAGGAGCAGGAAGTGCAACGGGATCAAATTGTGAGGGCCCATGAAGCAGGGAGATTCAATTTTACTCTAGAGGCAAGGAGAGAAAGGAAATTGTTTAAGCGGGGGAGTTCAACAATCAGGTTTGTCTCCTACTTGTTGGTATTGTCATTGACCTAATTAAGTCCAGGTTTTGGAATCTAAAGAGAGTGTTTACTTAATCATAGGTCCTCAGGGGCAGTCTCTGAGTTGAGAAACCGCTTTCTTTTTAGGTCTAGGAACAGCAAGTTTTCAGAATACCTGGGACTAATTAATTCAACCCTTCTGCCCACTTGTGCTAGTTCACTTCCCAGGAAACTGCCATTTGAGGAACTCCAATTTTTACTCCAACCTTGTCCTTCAAAATATTGTCTCTCTCTCCTTGGCCAGGGTTGGTTATATACTGACAGCTTTTGTCTCTTTGAATCTCATTTTTCTGTTTTGATACCCTCTTTCCTTAGTTATAGGAGCCCTGGTTGTGCAGTGGTTAAAGCGTTCGCCTGCTAACCAAAAGATCGGCGGTTGGAACCCACCAGCCGCTGCGGGAGAAAGATGTGGCAGTCAGCTTCCCTAAAGATTACAGCCTTGGAGGCCTTACGGGCCCTTCTACTCTGTCCTTGGAATTGACTGGAAGGCAATGGGTTTGGGCTTGGGTTTCCTTAGTTATGCTGACCTAGTCTTTAATTGTATTGCTGACGTTTTGGCCCGTCCCAACTTTTAATCACTCAGACAAGGCTTTCTCCGGTGGCCACGCCCACTCAAGAGCTGGTTTACGAGGAAAACTTGTCCCCAGCAACGCGCCGTACTGACGGTGGCAATGCGCAGGCGCAATTCTAGGCTCCCAGGGGCTTGTTCCTCTTTACCCAGGTTTCCTGCTTCCTGGTAGGTGGGCGACGTTGGCGCTTCACAGTTCAGTTTTCGCCGCGGCTCCCCGTTTGCTTCGGACGCTCGTTCCACAAACCTCCCCCAGCTCTCCGGGCCGCTCCTGCGGCCTGCACGCTTCCACGGCGACAGACCCATGGCTGAACGCGGCGAGCTCGATCTGACTGGCGCCAAACAGAACACGGGAGTGTGGCTGGTCAAGGTAATGTTCTCGCGGCTCCCGCTCGCGCTCGCTCTAATAGAAATAGTTTAAGTGGCTTCCAATCGTCCAGCTCCGTACGGCTTTTAAAGTTCTTTTACGGCCATCTCATTAGAGTTTCAAGTACCTTGAGGAGTATGGTCATTGTTATGCCAGTTTGCAGTTGAGAACATTAACTTAGGGACGCTGAGTGTCTTTCAGCCAGTTAAGAGTCCAAGCTTGCGTGGAATGAATCTGTTCCCCACGACCTGACTTGCCCTGGTCCCTTGTCTTGGTGTTCTCGATTTGAGCGGTGCATTTTACCCCGCACCAAAGAATTCCTCCATTTTGTTGAAACGGATTTTAGTCTTGAGGGTATACCGAAGAATCTACTTTCTCAGCCAGAAAGTAGAACTGGGCCTTGCGTACCCTCAAAATGTTCGCTTTGGTTGATAACCCTTAATGGAGCTCTCAGAAGAGTTCTGAACGAGTGGGAGAAGAGGCAGCTAGACTGTTGTTTTAGAGCAAGGTTAGGTCTGTTGAAACTGACCGTCAGTAAGTGTTTTATGTAAAGACTGTTTAGTATTTCGTCAGTTTCATTTGCAATGTTGGTTAGCACAGTGTTTGTGTTGACTTTTTTGTATTGGGGAGTGTTGTTTCTAGAGAAAAGTTTCGTAAGACATTTGCATGTTCAAAATGTGATCATGACAGTCTTTGAACCTCAGATAAAATGTAGGGATCTTTGGTTTGTTAATACTTTAGTTTACTGTCTTGTCATATGGCTGAGTCCTCATCATTTAAACCTTAGAGAGGTCCTTCCTGTCCGCTCCTCTAAAATAGCTCCTTTATGGTGATTTGCTAGCACGTCAAACTTTTATTATATTATTCAAAGCACTTGTCTGAACCTAAAGTGATTCTGTATTCGTGTGTTCAGTGTTGATTACTCCCCACCCCCTAATCACATTCCATGAGAACAGGACCCACAGTAGCGTTTGGCACATTGGTAATTGTGCAACAGATACTTGACTGAATTCATGATCTCATCCTTCAACTTCAGCCTTAGTCTGTGGCACTCGTTTGACTGATCTCACAGCCACATCAGCATGACTTAAAAGGATGTCGTAAATGGGTGTCTTTCACTCCCAACTGCATGCTAAACGAAAGAGGTTGATTAAGGAGATAATCTCCTTTGTAGGCTAAAGAAAAGAGCTTGAAAAAGGGGAGGACTTGAGATGATGCCTTTATGCTTGGAGCACAGTAAATGTGCAATAAATGTTGTTTGCCTTAAGGGATTTGGATGGGTGGATAGAGCTATAGCGTAGTATTCCATAGACCGAAAAACTTATTGCCAGTAAGTCAATTCCAACTCATAGGGACCCTATAGGAGTGGAGCAGAAATATAAGACCGTATAGTATAATATTATAATATAATAGCATATTAACATGATGTGTTGTGGAAACAAAGAGGAGACTATTATGCATAAAGCAGATAGTTTGTGTAAAAAAAGCTTGGGACCATATACCCAAATTGTCATATTGTGAAATGGAGATGTCTTATGTTTAAACCAGTTGCTGTTGAGTAGATTCTGTCTTTAGTCTGTAGAAAATGGAGAGTTTTGAATAAGGCAGGGATGCATAAGATTATTTTAGAAAGAAAAGAAACTTGGCTGTATACAGTATGAATAGAGGGTAACGGTGACCAGAGTCAGAATTAGAGTTATTGCACTAGCATACATGTGTATGAGATGATGAAGTCTGAAGAGTTAGGGAAACGTTTTCAGTAAAAATTGTCAAGATTTGGTGACTATCTTCGTTGGGGTACTTTAGAGAAACAGAACCAGACATATACACGTACGTGTAGAGAGACAGAGATTGATTTAGTTCAAGGAATTGGCTCACATGATTGTGGGGGGCTGGCAAGATCTGTTGGTCCGGCAACATGCTGAAGACTCTTGCACATCACCAGATGTGTATGTAGGGCAGGCATTAAGAAGAGTGAAGAGTAGGAGTGTTCATGTGTATTTATAGTATGGAAGAGTAGAACTTTCCCTAGGGAAACTCCCCTTTTGCTTTGTAGGTCTTCAACTGATTGACTGAGGCCTGCCCACATTATAGAAGGTAATCTGCTTTACTTCAGGCCACCATGTGTAGTGTAATTTAACCACGTGTAATTTATAACAGCAACTAGTCTAGTGTTTTACCAAACAACTGGGTACCATAGCCTAGCCAAGTTGACCCTTAAAGTTAACGATCACTTTGAATAAATGAGAATGTGAATGTAATGAATCTCAGATTGAAGAAGTTAAAAGAATTTTGGTTTATGCCCTGTATATGCCCATTTGAATACATTTTATCTCTTAAACAACAACAAAAAAACTGAACTCAAGCCTATGATTTGTTCTAATTGATTATTTTTTTTTTTGTTAGATCATTGCTTCCTGGTATCAGCTTGGTGTACAGTATTTCTTTTTTTTCCTAATCTTATTTATCAAGGAATTGAATGGACTTGCAAATACGACTTTCCTGGGTATGAAAGGAATATGTTGGATATTTTCTCTTTCTTGCTGGTTCTTGTCCTCTGATAACCTTATTTCTGAGAGGAAGAGAATTGCTAGCAAATATTTGCTGTTCTAAAATCTATCCATGTTCCCCCTTTACTTCACAACTTTTATTTCTCTTCTAGTTAAAGGAGTCCCGATAGGCAGTGGGGTTTGATTTGCACACCTGTCAGATAATTTGAACTTGTTTCATTTGCACTGGGGTAAGCATTCAGTGTGGTTTTCATGCCCATGTCTAGAGCATACTTGGATTTTCATCTCTGAATTATAAGAATAAATTACATGAGGCAGTGCATCAAATTGTAATGGTCTGTTTCATTTTTTCAGCTTTCTTTGTGTGATATTAAAATACAACATGTAGCTTAGAAAGTGTTTCTTCATTCTTTCTTACCTAATCACATTTTGTAAATGGGACTAGATACGGATTTCAAGTCTATACACTTTATATTAATATTTCTCAATATAAATAATACCTTGAAATCTGATCTTTGAGGATCACTTGCTGCAAAATACATAGATTTCCTCCTAGAGTATCTCAATGTTTATGAATTTTCTCTCACTTATTGGTTATCTTGTACATATTTTATTAAGTCCATCATTAAGAATGGGATAAATACAGTAAGAGCTGTACGTATAAGATCTTTGGGAGTTTCTGGAGGGAAAACTTAATGTTTATCTGGCCAAGACAAAGAAGACTTTTTAAAGAAGGTGACATTTAAGAACCTATGGAGTTGGTTAGTTGGAAAAAACTTCCCAGCATTGCTGGGAAGAAAGAGTCTTCAGGAATAGGCAAGTATAACTCCACAGTTTTTGCCTTGTCAAGGAGCTAGTCCTTTGCAGTTTGCATACCCTGTATGGCTCACTCTGTGCCACTGTTAACTTGGCAACTGGTCACACCACTACCACTCACCCTACAGAAACTATTATTTTAAAATTAGATGATGTTTTAAAATATTTGAGGACAGTTCAATTTTTGGCTTCCAGTATTGTTGTTGGCTGCCATCGAGCTACCTCTGATTCATGGTGACCCCACGTACAGTAGAAGGAAATGTTGTCCAGTGCTGCTCCATCTTCATGATCATTGGTATGCTTGAAGCTATTGTTGCAGCCACTGTGTATTTTGATTGCCTTTCAACCTAGGGGCTCATCTTCTAGCACTATATTGGACAGTATTCTTTAATGATCCATAGGGTTTTCATTGGCTAATTTTTGGAAGATCACCAGGTCTTTCTTCCTAGTCTGTCTTAGTCTGGAAGCTCTGCTGAAACCTCTCCACCACAGGTGACCCTGCTGGTATTTGAAATGCCAGTGGCATAGATTGCAGCATTACAGTAACATGCAAGTCACCACAGTAAAACAAACTGACTGACAGATAGGTGGTGGTCCAATATTTAGACTTTTGGTGAAATCTTCTCTAGCTATTGGTTGGTTGAAAAGTAAGGTGCATAGTGGGAAAGAAGAGGAAATAAAGCTGGCAAGGTTATTAGGGGTGGGATTTTTGAAAGTCACGAATACCATACTAGGGCCTGAAAGATGAGAAATACTCTCTCTTTTCTGGGAATGGAGAGAGGGCTATTGACAAGAGCTGCAGTAGATGTAGTAAACAGCTTACTAGCCAGCAGAATGAAGGTTAATTCTAGCCCAGTCAGCCTTCCTCTTGTAAACGTTTTGACTAATCTTTGTTGGAGGAGAGAATCAGGACAGAAGGGGTGGACAGCATCCCTGTGAATGTTGTGTCTTTCATTCAGCACCTCATGTGCCATCTGTCTCAGCTTTATTATTCACAGACAGGCAAGTAGTTTGACGTTAGAAGTCAAAGAGAAAGCTATATACCATGGAGGAATGAAGCTGGAATGGGTGACACCCCTAAGCCATCGGAACTTGCATTTCTTATGCACTGAGTATTTTACACAGCAAACCTATGAAGTAGATACTAGATATCTATATTTTTCAGATGATAAAATTGAGACTTAGGGATAGTATTTATGTTGCCCAAGCATGGAACAGTTGTTCAAATTTAGGTCTGTTTGGCTACAAAACTTATGCCAGGAATAGGAAATGTCTTTTTTTCCCTTGGGTACCTTTCATGGGTTATCTCCCTGGCAATTCAAGGGGTGAAGTGGGAACTTTATCTTTATGTCCCTTGTGTCTTATCCCCTCCAAATCTTGAATTTCAGAAAAATGTGGGAGTAAAAGTTCCCTGACACAGGTCGAGTTACCTGAGAAGCTGATTCTGAGATGGAGATTAGCATGCAGGAGCTTATTGGGATCTGCATCTGTGGAAGATCAGGATTGGGCAGGATTGGGCAGAGGGTGTGATACAGTCTGAATGAAAGCCAAGAATGATTCCATAGAGAGAACTCCAGAGCTGTACTGAGTTGGGGCTAGGTATACCCTGTGTTGACTGGTCATTGAATGTGGTTTGTCCAGGAAGAAGTTGTGACCTTGGGCGAGGGGTCTCTTAAGTGGAGGCAGTTCCAAAGAGGGCTAAGAGCTGAGGGCTATCTGCTGGCTACACTCCCAGCAGCTGGAGGGGTGGGGAGGGGGAGTAAGCCTTTAGTCTTGAAGGTGGAATATGGGTGTCACATCAGTGTTCAGTACAGTGCCCTTAATTAGCTTGTGTTCTTGGAGAAACAGGACTTTGAAGATTAGCACATGGGGACCTAGGTTTCTGATGAAGCAAAGTTTGCAAAGAAGCTTGTGGTGTAATGTTGGCACACATTACCTTAGTGCGTTGGCTTGAAAAGCAAAATTGACCTCATTACTCTGCCCAGCTTGGTTGGATTGATTTCTTCAGTCAACAAGCTTTTAGTTATTGCCAGTCACTGTGCTAGGCTCTTGAGTTTGTTATGGTGAGCAAAAACAGACATGGTCCATGCTCTCATGGAGTTTATAATCTAGTGCAGGAGACAGAGATTAGTCCCAGTGAAGACATAATTTTAAACAGATAAGGGTAATGAAGCAAGAAATATTTTTCTGAGTGTGAATAACAAGCAAACTTGACCTAATCTAGGAGGCCAAAGGAGGTTTCCCTGAGGAAATAATGCTTAAGTGAATCATTTTCTGACACTTGCTCTGGTCTTGGGAAATCTGAGAAAACATCCTCAAGTATGTCCTTTCCATCTGGTTTTCTTCAATGAGTGTGGGAACAGTAGAAACAACACATACCTCACAAGTGACATGTTGACAAGAAGAGTGTTTTGGAGGCTTGGAATCATACATCCTGTTGTTTTTCTTCTCTTCGTCTTTTCAGCCTTAATGTTTATGGGCTGGGACTTCCAGACTCCATAAGCTATTGGTGTAAAGAGTTATATGCGATTGAAATGTTATCCTCATTTACCCTTCATTGTATTCTATTCTTTTCCATTGTAAAGGTACAGTATTTTGGCAAGCTTTTGAATTAAACTAGTGGGTTTATCTAGAAACCTACTGTTGTATTATAGTGATAATGACAGTGTGGTATGAGTTCCAAACTAGTGTTTTTATCAGTTAACTTCTGGATCACATTCTGTTTTTAAGTTGGCTGTCACCTGTATTAGGTACAGTTAGTGTCCTGAATTTGATTCTTAAATTTGTTCTACTGTGTGATATATAGTCACTTCACTTAGAAGTATTTTTTTGTCATTTGATGGCCTAAATTATAGTCAGCAGCTGTTTGGTCACAGATTCATCTGACCTAGGTTAACATACTGAAAAAGTTTGGTCTCTTCCAAGAGTTCCAAGGCTTCAAAACACTCTCGTCTTCTCTCTATTTTAATATTTCAGGGAACCAGCAGTGAAGGGAGAAGAGCAGGTGGGACAAGGCCCCATTCCACTGTTGACATTGCCTCCTCTTTCCTCCTTATTTTGAGCTATATCTGTAAAACAGAGTTTCTCTCTGAAAATGAAATTAGGTGTATTAAAATTAAATTCTATATCCTAGGTATATCCCAATATTACCACCACTGGATGGAGCCCTGGTGGTGCAGTGGTTAAAGCACACAGCTGCTAACCAAAAGGTTGGTGGTTCGAATCCACCAGCCGCTCTGTAGGAGAGGGATGTGGCAATGTGTTTCTGTAAAGATTATAGGCTTGGAAACCCTATGGGGCAGTTCTCCTTTGTCCGATGTGGTCGCTGTGAGTTGGAATCAACTTGACAGCAGTGGGTTTTTGGTTTTGGTGATTATGTTAATAGTACATAATGTTCCTTCAGCAATATCCAGTCATTAAAGAAATAACCACGTGCCAGGCTGTTCTAGATGCTTGACATATGACAGTAAACAAAACTAACAAAATATCTGCCCCATGTAGGTAACATTCTAATAAGGAGCAGGAATAGACAGTAAACAAACACGTATGTATCAGGTGATATGTGCTCTAAAGAAAAATAAAGCAAGGTAAACTGGGTAGAAGGTAACTGGGGATGCTATTTTAAATATTTTACATTTGAAATTCCTGCTGAATATTCAAATGGAGAGTTTGAGTAGGCAGTTGGATATGTAAGTTGGGTGTTTAGGAGAGGCTGGACTTGAGTTACAAATTTGGGAGCAGATAGTATGCAGATGGATTTAAAGCCATGAAATTACATACGATTGAGTGATGCTAGAGAGGAGGAGAGGTCTGAGGACCAAATCCTGGGCTCTCTGGCGGTAAGAGGTCACCAAGATGAGAATCTAGATGTAGAGATCAAAAAAGGAGAGTCCAGAGAAGTAGAAGGAAAACCAAGAGAGAATGTGGTGACTCAGAAACCAAGTGAGGAAAGTGTTTGAAGGAGGAGGAAACAGTTCTCAAATACTGTTGATAGGTTGAGTAAGACAAGGACTAAATAGTGACTTGACAATGTGGTGATCTTGGTAATCATTGTGATCAGTTTCAGTGGCAGGTTTGGGAGGAAAATATGTCTAGAAGGGGTTCAGAACAAAACAACAGAAGAAGAAGTAGACAGCCATCATAGATACTAACTCTTCTAAGGCGTTTTTCTGTAAGGAGA